ATTAAGGACAAAATATGCCTTAATGTTTCTAAGACTCCCCTTGACATTTCTGGTTCAATTATGAAAATCAATGCAACTTTAAGTGGGTGCTATGAAACACAGATCCTCAGAAGTGATTTCACTGATCAAAATGAAGAATATTCCTGTAGATTACACTGATTGTGGCCCCACATCAGTGTGGGGGTTAAGAGACCAAGAGGAACACATATCTTCCTGCTGTGTCTTTCCTGAGTATCCTTCTTGCTTCTAAGATGAATTTCTTAAGAGACATAGAAAGTGGAGTCAGAAAAGGAGAGAGGAATCTGTACATATCTGGTCTCTCAAATTCAGCTACGTGAATGTCTCTGAGACAAGAGAAAGACACATGGATATATTATCAAAATGGTCCAAGGGGCTCTTTCCTGACATTAAATTATCAAGAAGTACTCCACCCCCAGTTCCATGAATAAGTAATTTATCTCCTGAAATAACATCAGATAATACATTTTTCATGTTTCAGAGAAAACCGAAATGGCTTTAGCAAAGGTCAAATGTACAATGTCCCTGGAGCAAGTAGATCAACTTCATGTGTAACATCATACAATTCAACCAGCCAGGGATCCTGGGCCCCAGCACAGCCCATCTTGGAATCCAGAGCCAAATAAGGTCAAGCACATCTCGAATACCTCAGACCAGTGGATCTGAATGAACACTTGCCTACAGACGATGGATCCACTTTGGAGCTTTTATAAGATATTCTACACAATTCCAAGAGCTTGCTCGATTGGGAGTAATTCTGCAGGATTTAGCTCATTTAAACTGAAACATCTGCATGACTTCCCATGGAACATTTGGCTCAGTGAGAGTCTTGGGAAAACAGTTAGGATATATGTTGTATAGAAGTAACAAGGGCTCTGGGGCTATACTCTCATGTAGTAAAATGTTACTAAGAGCTTACTATGTGCTGGAAACTCTGGTACCAGAACTTAGTTCTATCTTTAAATAAATAACTTTGTCTTTTTCACACTCTCACTGAGTCTCACTGAGTCTTATTTTCTTCATCATAAAATGGACCTGCTGTAGGTAATCAGATAATGGACAATTATTACAATCACTAAAGATCCTTCTAATGTTGAATACTTATTAGCCATAACATTTTGATTCCTATGCAGAAGTCAGATGAATCCCTAACGCCAGATCCACTGTATAAAACCTAACTATTTTAGGGAACTAGAAATGAAATGAAACCCACACAGAGTTTGATTTTTAAAAATTAGGAATGTGAAGACTGAAAGATATTACTACTAGAAAGATAAGAAAAGAAAATGAAAGAATAAAGTAGGATAAAATAGAAAGAACTGTATATGAAAGCCTCTTATTTTCTAACAACAAATTTAACTGTATTTTTGCAAAGTATCATGTACATTATAAAACCTTTTCATTGGTATTACCTTTAATGCTTCAATAACAGCTGGTGGGTGCTCAGTCCAACCATGTTTATGTCGTCTATCCATTCTGCGAAGTCAAAGGGAGAAATGTAATATGATATCTTACAAAGAAGGATTAGCAGTCCCAGACTGATATTAAGTATAACAATAATGGAGAGTCATGCTGTCCTGTAACTCAAGGGAACCTAAAATCTTTTTTGACTTTTTCCTAGTCATTCAAGTGGTCTAAGTGTTAAATTCAAAGAAATTAAAGCTCCCAAATACATGAACATGGGGGGAAAATACAATGTGGCTCCACATTGAAATGAATTATTAACCAGTTCACCTTCTTTGCCAGAGTGAATTATAGCACAGCATGGACAGTATGCAGTGTAGTAATTTATCTGAATGAAGAACTTCTATGGGCAACCACTGAGAGAGTTTGTTCCTTAGAACTGCCAACACAGAAGGAAAAAATGTTGCAGGTGAACTTTGAACTCACCCATCGTATTTCTAAACATGTATTATCCAATAGGATTATAGGAAGACTATTTCTGGAGAATAATTCTGGCATACGATTTCAAGAACAAAACGGCTAATAAAATTTGAAGGGTCAGGGAGAACTCAAACCTCTTAAATAAACTGTCTTCCTGGGGTCAGCAACTTCAAAGCCTCCCTGACCTGTTCCAAATGTGACAACATCTGTATATTTCAAAGGATGGATGAATTGGATGATTCCTTCTATAAAATTAGAGACTGAACTGCAGACTAAATCTTCTCTGCTTAACAAAAAGAATCTGAGCAAAGGCAAAGTCTGTCCAATGATGCTACAGAGATTAAAACAGGTATGGTTTTGTCATTTCTCATTCGGGACTCTTTCTATCCACAATTTCCAGTGTTTTATAAAGCATCAAAACTACACTGAAGTGGAGTTTCCAGTTATTGGAAACTGGATTCCTTCGCAGCTTGGTCATTGAATGACAACAAATGCCGTCTTTCCTCTCACAAATATCCGAGCCTGCACTGGCTGGACGATGCTCTTGAACCTGGGCTTCTCCTCGCTCCCGAGCATCATCCCATCTGCCGTGTAAAGGTGGAGGCCAGCCAGTCTCGGACCTCAGAAGGCACTGCATCTGACTGAATGTCACTGAGCTCATCCTCCGTATCCAGGAGGCCGCTGGACATAGAAACAGAATCAGGACAGTGAGATTAAACCTGAAGTTAGAGCTCTCTGCTCAAAGCAGCTCCTCTTCTCCACCTCACCTGCATGCAGTGCAAAGAAACCAGATTAAATCGCTCACAAGAAATACAGCCCTTTTTGATAATAAGCTTTGAAAGCTCACCGCTTGTGTTTCAGGATGGCTTTTTCTACCGATTGGGCAAAGGGACAAAGGGACGAAGATCCCAATACACTCATCTCAGGCTCCAAGGTGGCAGATACACTGGACTCAGAAGCACCTGGTATCTTTATTCCTAGAAGGCTTGTGGAATTAAATGGAATTTAAACTTGCACTTAAAATGCCCTCACAAGGAGCCTAAATTATTCATGGATGGACCATGTGGCATTATTTTGTTAAAAAAATGGACACAAAGACATTCTATAAAAAGACATTTGCAATCGAATTTATAACAGTGCAATTCACAGCTGCAAAGATGTGTAAACAACCAAGTGCCCATCAATACATGGGTAGATTAATAATGTGTATATATACCACGGTACTACTCAGCTATAGAAAACAATGGTGATATGGTACTCTTGTATTTTCCAGGATACAGCTGGAATCCATTCCACTAAGTGAAGTATCCAGAATGGAAAATAAGCACCACACGTACTCACCAGCAAATGGTTTCACTGACTAAGTGACATATAGGAATAACATTTATTGGGCATCGGCGATGAAGGGGAGTGAGGGGATGGGTATATAACGTGTTTCCCGGGAATAGACCTACCCATAAATAAGCCCTAGCAGGATTTCTAAGCATTTGCATAATATAAGCCTACCCGAAAAAAACCTAGTGATGGGCGTGGCTACACAGCGTGTCTGTACAACCCATGCATTTCGTCACGGAGCAATAATGAAGATGAGCAGCCCTTCCCATCTGCCCCATGAGAGCTGGGGCCAATGGTTCTAAAGGAAATAGAGTTGCAAGAAATTCAGGGATAGAATCAAGGTTTGGAGAGTTATGATAATGTTCCAGAAGAAGATGACTTAACATATTTGAATAAATGTAGATTGTTGTACTGTACTTAAAAAATAACACATCCCTTGAAAATAAGCCCTAGGTGTCTTCTTGAGGAAAAATAAAATAAGACTCTGTCTTATTTTCGGAAACACGACTCTAATGAGTGCAATGTGCATTGTCTGGGGATGGATATGCTTGAAGCTCTGACTTGGTGTGAGAGGGGAAAGGGGAATATATGTAACCTAAACATTTGTGCCCCATAATATGCTGGTATGAAATGGACACTTAAAGACTTTGCAAAGTATTACTCAAATCACAGCAATCCAGTCCTCTAAGTAATGATCTTAAGCAATGTCAACTGATATTCTTCCTAGTTTGATAGGATGTTTCAGAACTTTAAATATCTAAATTCAGGCAAAATTTTCAAAATAATGCAGTTCTTTATGATTAAGTTATCTGATGGCTTTTAGTCAATTTTTCAAGCTTGTTCACAGGTAGACCACTAGAAGGGAACATAAATATAATGCTGCAATAAAACCTAAAATACATTTTATATTTATATTAAGCCCAACTAAAAATAACAGTAAGTAGTAGGTGTCAATGTAAAGGTGTTTGGTTTTTTACTCCTATATACATATTTGATGATGGGGGGGGAACATGACATTTGGAAAAAGCTGTGATATCAAATTTCCTAAACTAGGAACCAAGCATGTCACCAAAAAATAAAACCATTAATTCTTAGATAACAGTTAAATACTTCCAGATTGGAATTTGGCAAAGAAAAGTAAGACATACTGACAAGATGCCTGTCTGAATTAAGAAAAAAAAAAAACTTTCATATTCAACATTTCAACATTTTTAAAAAGAAAAGCAATTTTATTACTTTCAAACATTTAGTAACTGGAACTGCTTTAATACTTTTAGATAATTCAAATAGAAAGGTCTCTAAGAAATCAGTAACATACATAAGACTGAGAAAGGAATCCTGGGTGCTTAACAGAATAAATGTTCTTGGTCACTTCAGAACTTTCATTTACTGATTGATATTGTGAATTAAACATAAAACAATTTTAGACTAACACTAACAATATGCAATAATTGCAATGGATTCTACATTTGATAAAAAAAACTTACCAGATTTTTAAAAAATAACTTTTTCTCTCTTACATTATCTCACTTCATGGTCATAACAGCCAAATAAAATACATCCTATTAGCTCTTTTATTGATGAGGAGGTACAAAGAATAAATGACTTGTCAAATCTATCCATTTGTTTGTAGAAACTAAGCTCCAAGAAGATTAATTTGAACGCTACCCCATACCTTCCATGGGGGACAATTTCACAAAAACCATTAACAGAGAATTATTATCACTATGCCTATGCAAATCTCTCATCATTTTTTAGCTTACCTGGTTTCATCAATGTATACAGATTCAAGCACTGTGGCTGCATATTCCAAATTCTTCTTAAGATCTACCACTGAGGCCTCCCCTCTCTCTAATTGTTTGACCAGAGACCGTAACCTGGGGAGGAAAAAGATAAGATTTCTTTAGAATAGAAAAATCAAAGAATAATTCTACAATTATGGTGATACGTTCCACAGTCACTGAATGTTTTTATTTATTACATCTGAAAGGAAAATAATTATGGGTCAAACAGCAAGTCATAAAATAAATCCATACATTTTTGCCATTGTGAAGCAAGAACAAAAATGTTTTTATCAACCAGGCACTGACTACCCTCAATATTTTCTAGCTACTTTTTATCTTTATGAATCCCTAAATTATCAATAATTTTGCTTTCTTTAAAATTTTTATCTTTTTGTTCTAATTGGATGTAGTAAAGCAAGACCAGTAGCAACATCGCCAAACATTTCTGGGGATTCTGCTCTGTCGAAGGCACTTTGTTCCCCATGGCCAGAGAGAACAGCATCTCTGTTCCAAGATAAGTGAAAAGATTTCAACACCAACAGAACCATAAGAGGGCTATAGAAGGAATAGATAAAGATAGAGTATTTTATTGGACAGGAAGAATCATTCTAAGAGCAGATAAATACCCTAATTAAAAAAAAAAAATAGGATGAATTTTAAATCAAAGAGTTTCAGACAGTAAAAGAGAGACAGTAAAATACGTTCTTCTCTTATTTGTATGAAAATTATCTGCACAGAGAAGGACTTAGTTATATAAGAGCAATAAAATTTCTAAAGATGATGAAAATGCAGTAACTAGGAAAACTGTAAATATCACAGAGACTTGGAGATTGGACAACCCTTCAGGCTATTCAATAGCCAGCAGGGAAAACAGTAGAGACTCTGAAGACAAATGGGTTTGAATCTCACTTCATAACGTATTAACTATGTAATACCAGGTTAGTTATTTAACTTCTCTGAGAGTTATCTTAATGGAGAGCCAAACATGAAGTTTCCCAAGTTGACAAAAGAATTAAATGAAATTGATACATTGTATGTGACTCATACTTATTTTTTAAAAAGGCAATTGTTATACTTATTGTCAGTCTTGTTATTCAATGATCTTGATCATCACAGGTAACCAAATAAGAAAATTCTAGCAAGATCTCAAGTCTCCACTTCCCATTAGTTTATGCAATCTGTTCTCACATTCCTGACTTCAAAATATCCTCAGACTTGAATTCATAGGAGAAAATAGGTTGCCTTCTTGGCAAGGTATGAACTACTGCCCTCCTTATAGCTTCATGAAAATTACCAACAATAAAGAATGAGAAAGAATGAGAAAAAATCCTGGATCAATCTTTAAAAGTAGACAGGAGGATCAACTATACAATAATTTCCAGGAATTTCAATGATACAAAATACAAATGAAATTAGATTAATGGTAGTCTCTGCCTGATTTACAAATCTCTAACATGCAAAAGCAAAATACGAAAAAAAAAAAAAATTCAGCAGAGGCTTTTGCAAGCTTGGAGGTAAAAGTCAGCCCTGCGGGTACCATCAGCAGCACTAGGAAGTGCTCTGGATTTCACAGGCAGCACAGGACAGGGAGTTGGCATGGAAGGGCTTGCCAGTCACTCACACACAGTGGACGGCCAGCCTGCCAAAGAATAGGCAGACAGCAGCAGCAAGCCCGACTGCCGTTCCAAATAAGGACTAGAAGCTCTTTAGCAAAACAGATTCCTGGCTGGGTCTGTCTCCAGTTCTCACTCTCATCTCAAGGGGCCCAACTACCTCCAAGGCTCCCTGGACTCTCAACTGGCAAAGTAAAATAAGAGTATATGTAAACTTTTTGAAAATTTCTCCCTTTATTTGGGGCTTGAAGATTCTCTAAGAATTGACATGAATCTCTCATAGGACCCATCTCAATTCTTGAAACCTAAGAGAAAAGAACAAAGCTGAAAAAATGATGAGAGAAAATATAAGACTAATAGAGTAGCAAGAACCTAGAAGATTCTATCTCCCTATAATAAGGCTTCCATACGACATAAACAACAGAAGCATGTTTAATCAAATGTTTTCCTATGTTAAAGTAAAATCTATATAAGCAAATGAAAAGAGATCAAATAAGATAAAAAAATAAATGATAACATCCAACATATGCTATTATAATTTTTGATCTCAAAGAATAAAAAAAAATCTTGAAGATCTTTGGGGAAAAAAATTTCATTAAATATGAAATGTCCAATTTCAAACTGAAATTGCAGTTTATTATATCTCAAACAAGAAGTAGTACAATTAATCAAAGTATGTGCCTAAACTATCAACACAGTTGATCTTAACAGTAGATTGTTTATGCCAGCAGTGAAAAAGCCTGGAGAGCTAGTGGTGATGAAATCGTGAAAGGCGTTTTCCACAGCTTGTTGAGAATGAAGTATTTTTCCTTGCAAGAAGTGGTCCAAAGCCTGGAAGAAGTGGTAGTCAGTGGGTGCAAAATTTGGAGGATACTGTGGATGACAGAGAGTTTCCGAGTCCAGCTTCTATGGTTTGAGCAGCGTTGTTTGTGCAACATGTGGTCAAGGGTTGTCTTGCAAGAGGATTAGCCTGTCTCTATTGACCAATCTCGGCTCCTTAATAACATGCATCCTCACCATTTCATCCAATTGGTTGCAGTGATATCCACTGTAATCGACTGACCAGGTTTCACGAAGCTGTAGTGGAGAATACTAGAGCTGGACGACCAGACACGATTGGCTTTTTTTGATGAATATTCAGTTTTGGACTGTGTCTCAGCACTTGATCTTTATCCAACCATTGTGCCAAATGCTTGCTATCATCAGAAAGAATCAATTTTTCATCCCACATAATAATACAGTGTAGAAATGGTTCACCTTTATGTGGTGACAGCAAAGAAAGGCAAGGTTCGACACAATTCTCTTCTGACGCTCATTTAATTCATGTGGAACCCATCTATACAGCTTCTTCACCTTGCTGATTTGTTTCAAATGGCCCAATACTGTTGGAATAGTAATATCAAACCTTGCTGCTAATTCACACGTAGGTTGAGATGGATTTGCTTCCACTACAGCTTTCAGCTCATCATTATCCACCTTGGTCTCAGGTTGTCCACATGGCTCACTTTCAAGATTAAAATCACCAGAATGGAACTTCTCAAGCCATCCAGATACTATAAGTTCATTAGCTACATCCTTCCCAAACAGTTCATCGATATTTCGAGCTGCCCAGGTTGCATTGGTTCCACAATGGAACTCATATTTGAAAATAGCATGAATTTTTGACTTATCCATGGTTTCACAAAAATTGCTCTAAAAAAAAATCGGAAAGATAATCACAAGCCAAAACGGGTTTTTTTGAAAGACCTTCACAAAAAGAAACAAAGAAACAAAAACCAAGAAGTGTAAAGTGAAATGTCAGAGATATCAACTGTCAAACTTAGTACTTAAGGAAATTGGACATTTCATACGTGATGACTAATACCTACAAAGTAACAAAAATTCAAGCTGGCCATAGACATCTACCATGCCAAAACCCAGAAAGCATTTAACAACAGTACCAATTTTTGAGAACAATATGGTAAAATACAAGATATTTATATCCACATCTAGTAAAGTTACCATGTATGTGTGAAACCAACAAAGATATCCTCAAGTATCAACAAATTCAAAATGCATCATTTATATCCTTTCCAGAATACAAAAACAACAAAAAAACTTTAAGGCATACTCTAAGACAGTGGTCTTCCAAGGGGGTGATTCACGGATCTTCAGTTAAATGCACTGTAGACTCATGACCTGGATTTAACTAAGCCAAACTTTACAAAATAGACATGAAGTTTGAGAAAGATTCCTGAGAGAAGTGGCAGATGAATTAAAATGCTAAGTATACAAGGACAACTAAACATGGAAACGAGCTGACTTTTCTCTTTTTCCTAAGACAAGCTCCTATTTCTAGGATAAACACCTCCAATGCCACTTTTACAAACTAAAAACTAATTATAGTCAGTCAAAAAACAATTGAAATTATTAAGAATATCGTATGGACTATGGATTTATATCCACTACTGTTAACAATTCCCACTCCTGGGAAAGCACAGTATATTGAACGAATGAAGTGAGTCACAACAACCTCCTATCATCTTGTGGACTGGGTGGCGGGGGTGGGGGTGGGGGCGGAACTGGGACCAGTGCCCCCAGGGAAAGCATCACCCAGAATCCAACTCGGCAGTTCAGACAAGCAGCACTGAAAACCAGCTCTGCTGGAAAGTCCCAGGCTTTGTGCCACAACTAGCAGGACATGAGCAGTTGGAAAGCTTCTCCCTGATACACGGTGTCTTTGGTGCCAGGCAGACACTGGGCAGTCACGTTTTTGTATTCAGCTCTGACCCCACAGAAAGCTGTAAATAGAAAGCAAGACCCTAGCCAAGTAGCTGCAACAAACCAAGAGGAGAAATGACACAGAAATAAAGCACCTTTTAGATGCACAAGAGGTGCTAGAAATGTACTTCTACCCCCATCTTTCTAGCTGCTGAGATGAGCTGAAGATTGACTGACATCCTGGCAGACAGTGAAGAGAACCTAGGACAACCCACCCACTCTGCTTATGGGAAAACTGACCAGCTGACCTCTCTTGATTCAAGGACAACTATGCATAAAAAAAGTATCTATGAAAACATTCAGCAATAAAGACAGAGGAGAAAACAATTAAAATGCAGAGAAAGGACTCACTTTTGAAAAAAAAAATTCACTAATGGAAACATAACTAAATTTTGGGGAGCATCTGCTGTGTGTTCAATAAAATGCAGGAAAACATAGATCTGTGAAACAAAGGTGAAAGCTGAAATCAATATAATAAAAAGTGAACATATTGAGAGAGAAGAAATTAAAAAGAAACAAAACAAGCAACAGAAAGGCTATATGAAGCTTTTGTTAAAAAGAGAATAAATGGTGACCAGATTTCCATATATCCATCTCCTGTCTGGCTTGGCACCATGGATACCAGTTACTGCGGCTGACTTTCTGCTACATGTAGTGGCCACACAAACTTTAGGAATCCCAGGTGCTCTTTCTTTCAAATATTGTTGAACTTCAGCACAGTGTCCAGGTGCTTGTGCACTATAGGCCACTCAGCTCACCTCTCTAGCTCTTTATCCTTCCCATTTAGAGCATCTTGCCCTCCCCTGCTCTCCCCTACCTACCACCCACTTCTTGGAGAAATTGCTATTCCTTGGGTAGAAGACTTTCAAATTAGCTCCTTTACCACGGGCCAATTAGTAGCCTCCAGTTTCAAAAATTCCCAAAGTCCCTGGGAATAAGGACCCTTCTCTATTTTCCATCATAGTGCAGGTTTTCCCTAGATCTTAATCCACCTTAAGAAGGGCTGTCTGAAAAATAGCCAGGAACTTTCTCACTCATATTATAAAGCTGGAGAAGACTAGTACCGGCAAGAAGCCCCAGCTGCCTGCCCTTGCTTTCCTAGTACAGTTATCTAGATGTTTTTCCATGTGAATTTATTCCATCTACAGGAGCAACATCCCCAAGGGCCAGGTCCCATGGAAAGCTGTCCCCTGTTTTGGGAAAGAAGGGTATCTAGCTTCTTAATACTACTCAAAAGGACTTTTGATCTGGGTATCTGATGACAGTTTGTTTCTTGAGCATTCAAAATAAATTCCTTCCCTGTGAGTCTTACAAGGAAGGAAAGAAGCAAAAAAGGGAAGGAGGGAAATATGCAACAAAAATAATAGAAATAAGGTTTCTCTTCTGAGTGCACGTTCATAGTTTTCAGCACTCCATCCATTTCTGTCACTGCTGCTGCCAGATGATAGCTCCAGTATAGAAGTGCAGCACCATTTTAGGAATAGCTTATGTCTTCAAACTTTGGCAAGAAGCCTTTCCGTTAAGGCAGTGTGTAATTTCATTATGGAGAAGCCACTGCATCTTCACATGGCTCTTGCATTTCTCCACATAAGCTCTGTTTTCCACATGCCTCTTTGCTGCAAGGTATACAATGAAAATGCTCCATCACTTCAGTTCTCTGTGTTCCCAACACCAGAGCAAACCCTGGATGATGACTTCCCCGACCCCGGGCCAATCAATACATGGGATGCATAAAGGCATTGGAAAGGGGGGAACTAAGTGAAGAAAGGCCTGGACACTTTATTTTGGAATTTAGAAGGCCACTGGGGTTGAAGAGAGAACAACATCTTTTTTCCACAAAGATAACTCCTAGAACCAGTGGAGTGAACTTCATTAGAGAGCAACTTACTGGCCCAACTTTATAATTTAGACAACTGCTCTGCACTGGACTAGACACTATTTCCTACCCAAGTGAGGTTCCTGAAAACACTACAATACTACGCCTTGAGAGCAAATATATTTGTGGAGCTTTAGACACTGCTAGAATGAAATCATCGGAAAAGCAAAAGCAAAAATAAACTAGAAACACCATTGCTTACATTTATTTGTCCATTCTGCCCAAGGTTATCCCCTCTGAGCATTGACAAACAGCTCCCAAAATGCCAGCATGGCCGACGATGACTCTTGTCTCAGACAGGCTTTGTTCAGTTTGAAAGACTGTGAAAGGGAACTGGATCTTTTATAGCACTTCCCCTACGTGTCCGAATGAATCATGAGCCTCGAAAATGCAACTGAATGAAAATCTCCATTTCAGTTCATCACACCCACGTATTTGCAAGGCACAGGCGTCTCCGTGCACTTTCACACACCTGCCTCCTCCACGTCACTCACGTCCCCTGCCACCTACCTAAATGCCACAGAAAATAACGCACCTCCTCCAAATGATATGCCTCAAAGTGAGTTTCACGCGTATGCTTTAACGCCAGCCGATGATGCCATCCAAGCATTTTTCTGGCAATTTGTTTTTATAATTAATGACAACTGATTAAGACGGCTGTACTTGAAACACTCATTCGACACTGACTGGGTGCCTTCTGCATGCGGGCACTGGGATAGGTTCTAGGAATACCAAGTGGAGAAACGCAGCGCCTTCCCTCAATTAGGGACAGCAGACAGCTGTCGGCACCTGCACTGCAGTCCCATGAGCATGACGGCAGAGGTGCGATGGGGACCAGGAAAGGACAGACGAGGGAAATCTCCAAATAAGAAGGGCCTCCCCAGTGGAGGTGACATCAGAGCCGGCTTGAGGGCCAAATAAGGGCCAGCCAGGCACACGGACAGGATGGAGAGATAGTGAGCTCTGGACTGAGAGACCAGCCTGACGGTGGTGATGGATTCGGGGCATCAGGGAATTCCACGGTTATCTGGAGCTCAGGAGCACGTCAAGAGACAAAACTACAGAAGAAGGCGGAAGCCAGACCATGGGGGACTTAGTGTGCCAAACTAAAGAAATTTAATGATCTCTTAGAGATAATGGGGAGCCCGTAGGGAATTTTCAAATGGGGGAATGGCATGATAAGATCTGCATTTTAGAAAGAGCAATCCATCAGCAGAGTAGAGGCACACAGAGGAAGTAGGACAAATGTATATGTTTTCATTGTAATTAGGCTTGTCTAATACTCTAAACAAGGCGATATTAATATTCTCTCTCATGTCACAGCACTTTGATTGGGTATTGCATAAGTTGGGTGGTGGTATGGATGGTTGCTTTTAAGGATTTCTAGGAAAGGAGTTATATGGGGGTATGCGATTTCCTCATTTAGTGACCACCAAACCAAAAACAAGAACAGTTCTGGATGGCGAACAAATTAAGGCAGCCACTGCCATAAAGTATTTGGGGTATGTAAGAAATCATCCCCAATACACAGTCTTTAGGGAAAGTGATAAAGACACTGTGTTTGGGAAATCAATTTTGTACAGAAAAAGACTGCATTTTCCAGAAGCCTATTTCATGTGATGGAAGAAGTCTGATGTCACAGCATGCCGGCAGATGCAATACGTAGTTCGCCTTGAAATCGCCCCACCTGAGATCTGTGGGTACTGACAGGCTGGAGGTACGTGAACACTGGAAAGATTCATCGCTCTTTATTTAGTTGAAATTATGTTGAAGCATGAATCGCGCTGAAATACCAATCGATCTGTCACAATGATAATGAGATTATTGTTGAATGAGCCAAGTGGTGGGGGAAAGTTACTAAGACAGCGATGGCGCTCTGTCTCCCATTACTGTACTCTTCTGACGGCGTGGTCGACAGTAACAAAGTCATATCGAAATGAGATCTGCAGGCAGAGCCCAGGCAGTGCTCAGCTATTTAGTCACTGTGTACTCCAGGAACTGGATAATAAACAGGCTTTTCAGCCTTCCCCTGCCGGTGAGACCCACCGACAAGTGTAACCACAGTACCCCACCACAGAGAATTCCGAGCAGTGGCTACCCCGAACCACCTTCCGTAGTCCACCCGAGCAGTTTCATCGTGCATTAAAAGGGTTTAGCCTGAAAGCATAGAGGATGGACAAATGTGTCAGTTATCTTATTATCTTTAATGAGGCACTAACCTGAACGGCGCATCAGCACCATAGCGTGTGAGTAATTCATAAAGAAATAAAACTTCAGTGCATGATCCCCACCTTGCCTCATTGAGGAAAATCATCCAACGACCCACTTGGCGACATCCTGCAGGAAGGCGTGAGAAGAACACGTTAGCTCCGTCGTCATACCCACTAATCTCCATTTCGGTCTGCTACAGCCCCTCACACTCAACTTTACCAGACCGAGACTCATAACACCTTTTCACTCTAACTTTTCCAATCTGGCAGTCCTACCTTAGTATGTATTGTAATAAAAACCATTAAAAAAATAAGTTGTCTTTTACTAACTAATGATAGCCTGCATATTATTGAGTCCTACTTATACGATCAGGCATTATGATTGGTGATAAATATGTAACTTATGCTGAAAACAACTCTAAGTGATAGGTGTTATTAGTCACATATGTACAGATGAGACAAAAGGTAAGTTACCTATTTCCTCAGACGCTTCAGGAGTACAGTGCTAGGACACAGCGTGGGGCCAAAACACAGAACACAAGTTGGGATGCCTTAAGGTCAGGATCTTGCCATATAAGTCCTCAGCTGCTTAATGCATGCGCAATGGTGTCCCTCCTCACTCTTCCTCCACCTTTGAACACATCAATGATTCCTCTATCACCACATGGGAATGTTAACAACTCATTTAAAAAGTGTCTCGACACCATCAGACACTTACTGAAATCACAATACATCTCATCAATCATAAAACTCGACTAACAAGAGCCCAAAGCATTCTTTCAAGGACAGAGAAATGCTCCTTTCTGGAATCATCAATCTGGATCTTGCCTCAATTTGTAAGTCATTTATGAAAAAAAAGGAAAAACCTAAAACCGAACACATACATTATACACAATTCCATGAAATTCAAGTCTTTTGTCCTAAACAGAATGTAAACAACTTTATCCTTTGTAACTATTACATATTACATGCTTGACTATCCATAACACACAGCTTGTGAGTTACAGTAAACAAAGGTGTTGAATTTAAATAGGCTAAAGCAACGTAGTCAACTGGTTTCTCATTGCATCAAAAAGTCTCACTCCCTGCAGTTAATAAAATGTTTGATTGAGTTTGACATAGTGACCCACAGGAGACCGAAACTGGAGACAGACAAGGTGTCAGATGGTGCCCTGTGAGACTTGGCTCATGATGACTCTCACTCCAGCCCTCAGCATCCGACATCCATCCATCCCAATCTTGTGCCTCTCCAAACGTTTCAACCTCAATTCATCCCAAGGCCATCAAGGGTCTCTCTCATGATACCAGGGGAACGGTTGTCAGTCAAAACTGAATTGTTATTTAGGGAAAACCAAACTTTCCAAAAGGGTTTCAACTGAATTGCTTCAACTCACATTAGTGGTAACGTCACTTCAGTCCTCAATAATTGCCCCTCAGTTAAAATAACTAAAAAATAAGCTAACAAGAACTGAGCACATTTTCTGTGCTGGGCACAGTGTGAAATGTTATACACAGTCCTAAACTCACAACTCTGAAATAGGTGTTACTTTTCCAGTTTTAGAGATGGCAGCATCAGAGAAATTAAATCAAGTGAGCAGAGCTAGGTAGACCCCACTGATCTCACTGCCAACGATAAAACTTAAACTCAATGATATGTCCTGTGACCCAGGCCTCACCTTTGGGCCCAGGCCACAGACATCAAGCCCTTTCAGATAACCCCAACACCTAATGCTCTAAATTGATTACTTCTAATTAATACTGCCACGAATCATATATACTGTATGATCTTCAGTACTAAGGAAGCCCCTGAAAACTTGTAGGCTGGAAAATGTTCGCATCTGACAGTGTTTTAATCCTAGTCTCCAGAATGAACAAAATAAGATAGGTTTCTACCACTGAAAACAAACATATTATCATAGCCAAAGGGTTTTTTTAAATATCGACAGAAGGATAGTAAATAGAGACCAGATGAATGCCTTCTTGGCCTCATTTTAGCGAAAGCTTAACTGTGATTCTCAAATTTATTAATGTTCTTCAGAACAACTGAGGGCTCAGTAAAAAATTGATTCTTGGGTAGGACTCCAAGAATCCCGGTGTGGGCCTGGAATCTGCATTTTAACAAGCACCCAGTTTAAATCCTTAAAGACCTTTGCAAAATTTTGCCCAAGGACAATTCTATGGAGAAACTGCATGAACTTCCCGGCAGTCTATGTAAAGGAAGCCTGAACCTTCTCCCAATTTTAAGCTGGAGTCTATCCACGGTGTTGCTTCCTGGTCACGGGACAGATGCCTCCTAAAGAAGGCACATGGCTACGTTTCCAGCAGGCTCATCTCAGAAGACTAGAGATAAATGCCTCAAATGAGAAGTTTATATGTGTGTGTGTGTGTGTGTGTATTAAAAAGACAGAAAATGAAAAGACATAATGCAACATATTTCAAATTTAGAGATTGGTGGTGGTTAATTATTCCTTTACTTAAATGTCACTTTATGCCACTACTTACATTAACCACAAAGGTTAACATGACAGTTAGCATAATGGTTATTTTAGTGAATTGCATTCTCTCATTATGGGGAAAATTTCTGTAAATAGAAGAAATATACTGATTCCATATGAACTTGCTGGAAATGAAGTGGAAATAATTTTTCTAACAGGCACTACATAAAGAAGAAAAAGAATCTATCTCTAATGATCTCTCTAACTCACTGCAAATAAAACCAGAGTCTGGGAAGTGAAAATATCAGTCATAAAAAGCTTTGAACTTCCCCAGTAAACAAGTGACAAGGCCAGAAAAACAGCAGCTTTAGCCTTAATGCACATATCAGCAATGATGCAGAGAAAGATAGCAATTAGTGAGTTAGCACTTATTCCTTTTCTCTGAATAATTCAAATATCTTCCCTCCTAAAGACATGTGTGCATTGAGAATTTCTTTTCCCTAAGTATAAAAATAAATTCATGCACATCACAGGTTGTTTCACATTTTTCCAGTTTTCTGGAAAAAAAAGCATCCATTTGGACGAAACATTTTCATAAATGCTTGCTACCAGTATACCACTTGTATTTACGCTCATGATAAAGAAAGAAATTAAGCAAAATATGCTTTAATGTTTCTAAGATCCCTTGAAATTTCTGGTTCAATTATGAAAATCATGCAACTTATAGTGGGTGCTATGAAACATCAGATCCTGCAGAGTGATTTCACTGATCAAAATGAGAAATATTCCTGTAGATTACACTGATGTGCGCCCACATCAGTGTGGGGTTAAAGAGGACCAAGAGGAACACATATCTTCCTGCTGTGTCTTTCCTGAGTATCTCTTGCTTCTAAGATGAATTTCTTAAGAACATAGAAAGTGGAGTCAGAAAAAGGAGAGAGAATCTGTACATTCTGTCTCTCAATTCAGCTAAGTGAATGTCTCTGAGACAAGAGAAAGGACAATGATATCATCAAATGGTCCAAGGGCTCTTTCCTGACATTAAATTAATCAAGAAGTACTCCACCCCCAGTTCCATGAATCAGTAATTTATCTCCTGAAATAACATCAGATAATACATTTTCATGTTTCAGAGAAAAAACCGAAATGGCTTTAGCAAAGGTCAAAATGTACAATGTCCTGAGCAAGTAGTCAACTTCATGTGTAACATCATACAATGTCAACCAGCCAGGATCCTGGGCCCCAGCACAGCCCCATCTTGGAATCCAGAAGCCAAATAAGGTCAAGCACATCTCGAATACCCTCAGACCATGGATCTGAATGAACACTTGCCTACAGGAACGAGATCCACTTTGGAGCTTTTAAAGATATTCTACACAATTCCAAGAGCTTGCCTGATTGGAGTAATTCTGCAGGTTTAGCTCATTTAAACTGAAACATCTGCATGACTTCCCATGGAACATTGGCTCAGTGAGAGTCTTGGGAAAACAGTAGGATATATGTTGTATAGAGGTAAAGGGCTCTGGGGCTATACTCTCATGTAGTAAATGTTACTAAGAGCTTACTATGTGCTGGAAACTCTGGTACCAGAACTTAGTTCTACTTTAAATAAAACTCTGTCTTTTTCACATCTCACTGAGTCTCACTGAGTCTTATTTCTTCATCTATAAAATATTGTGTAGGTAATCAGATAATGGAACAATTATTACAATCACTAAGATCTTCTAATGTTGAATACTATAGCCATAACATATTTGATCTCCTATGGCCAAGTCAGATGAATCTCCTAACGCCAGATCACTATAAAAACCTAAACTATTTAGGGAACTAGAAATGAAATGAAACCCACACAGAGTTTGATTTTAAAAATTAGGAAGTGAAGACTGAAAAGATTTTACTACTAGAACAGATAAGAAAATGAAAATGAAAGAATAAAGTCAGGAATAAATAGAAAGAACTGTATAAAAGCCTCTTATTTTCTAACAACAATTTAACTGTACTTTTGCAAAGTATCATGTACATTATAAAACTTTTCATTGTATTACCTTTAATGCTTCAATAACAGCTGGTGGGTAGCTCAGTCCAACCATTTTGATGTCCGTCTATACATTCTGCGAAGTCAAAAGGGAGAAATGTAATATGATATCTTACAAAGAAGGATTAGCAGTTCCCAGACTGATATTAAGTATTAACAAATAATGGGAAGTCATGCTGTCTGGTAACTCAAGGAACCTAAAATCTTTGCTTTTTCCTAGTCATTCAAGTGGTCTAATGTTAAATTCAAAAGAAATTAAAGCAATCCCAAATACATGAACCATTGGGGGAAAAATAACTATGTGCTCCACATTGGAATTGAATTATTAACCAGTTCACCTCTTTTGCCAGAGTGAATTATAGCACAGCATGGACAGTATGCAGTGTAGTAATTTAATCTGAATGAAGAACTTCTATGGCAACCCACTGAGAGAGTTTGTTCCTTAGAACTGCCCAACACAAGGAAAAAATGTTGCAGGTAACTTTGAACTCACCCTGGTATTTCTAAAACATGTAATTATCCATATGGATTATGGAAGACAATTCTGGAGAAATAGATTTCTGGCAATACGATTTCAAAGAACAAAACGGCTAATAAATTGAAGGGTCAGGGAGAACTCAAACCTCTTAAATAAACTGTTCTTCCTGGGTCAGCAACTTCAAAGCCTCCTGACCTGTTCCAAATGTGGACAACATCTGTATATTTCAAAGGATAT